GGCACTCGGAGCTGGCTGAGGGCAGGTCACTGGGAGCTGGCTGAGGGCTGGGCACTGGGAGCGGGCTGAGGGCTGGGCACTGGGAGCTGGCTGAGGACTGGGCACTCGGAGCTGGCTGAGGGCAGGTCACTGGGAGCTGGCTGAGGGCTGGGCACTGGGAGCGGGCTGAGGGCTGGGCACTGGGAGCTGGCTGAGGACTGGGCACTCGGAGCTGGCTGAGGGCAGGTCACTGGGAGCTGGCTGAGGGCTGGGCACTGGGAGCGGGCTGAGGGCTGGGCACTGGGAGCTGGCTGAGGACTGGGCACTCGGAGCTGGCTGAGGGCAGGTCACTGGGAGCTGGCTGAGGGCTGGGCACTGGGAGCGGGCTGAGGGCTGGGCACTGGGAGCTGGCTGAGGACTGGGCACTCGGAGCTGGCTGAGGGCAGGTCACTGGGAGCTGGCTGAGGGCTGGGCACTGGGAGCGGGCTGAGGGCTGGGCACTGGGAGCTGGCTGAGGACTGGGCACTCGGAGCTGGCTGAGGGCAGGTCACTGGGAGCTGGCTGAGGGCTGGGCACTGGGAGCGGGCTGAGGGCTGGGCACTGGGAGCTGGCTGAGGACTGGGCACTCGGAGCTGGCTGAGGGCAGGTCACTGGGAGCTGGCTGAGGGCTGGGCACTGGGAGCGGGCTGAGGGCTGGGCACTGGGAGCTGGCTGAGGGCTGGGCACTGGGAGCTGGCTGAGGGCAGGGCACTGGGAGCTGGCTGAGGGCTGGACACTGGGAGCTGCTGAGGGCTGGGCATGCGGGCTGGCTGGATAGCTGCAGGATGTGTGCAGGATGATGAGGAACCCAGGCAGGGAGGTGTCATGGACAATATTATGAGGCAGAACTGAGTCTAAGGCCCCAGGTTATCCAACGAGAGGGTCGGTCAGGAGAGCCCGGAGAAGGAGCAGCAGCACGCCCACGCCCAGGGGCAGTGAGGACAGAGAGGAAGCAACAAGCACCACCAGCTTGCTCCCCGCTGAGGCCTCTCAACTCAAACAGGCAGACAACACCCCAGTGGGCGGCCCCTTTGGCTGGAGCCTCCTCCCATGTCCAACCAGGAGGCGGTTCCCTTCCCTGTGAGGGCACATCCCAGTGCAGGTTCCATTCCTGCCGGGGCCCCTGCGGGAGGCAACCCACTAATGTTCCTCTCTCTCCCTTCTTCTCCCTCTGAAGTCCATAAACATAGCCTTGGGTAAGGATTTAAAAAAATGACTGTGGCTCTCTACATAACAACATAAACAAAAAATAAATATAATTAAAAAGAAGAAAGACAGCAATTGTGAAATCACAAGAGGCCTCGGAGGGAAAGCAGGGACGGGGGCCTCTGAGCCATGAGAGGGCAGGAGAGTCTTTCCTCGGCCTCCCTCCCATGAGGGGGACAGAGGGGACTGTGATGGCCCCTCGTTGCCATGAGCACAGTTAACTGTGACCCCCACTTCTAGGTGACGGAGACCAGCGGGCAGCGAGGAGACCCCCATGCAGCACCTCCTGCCCACAGAGCCTGACCTGCATGCCACTGCCCTCGCTGGTCCCTGAGGCCTCGGAACCCAGCTTCGCCCAGAGCCTGTCTCCTGGGGCCATGGGGGCGCCGAGAGGAGGTCCCCCCATAGCGGGTCTGAGCATCAAGGAGGCCAGCTTGCAGAGAATAAAGTACCTGCCTGCTTTGCAGACTTTGAATGTGGAAATGACCTGGAACTTTCCTTCAGGAGAACAGGAAAGGGAGGGGCATTGCCTCCCAGTCCCTTAGGAAGCCTGGGGCAGGCCCTCCTCCCTCAAGTCCTGGGAAGGATCCTGCAGTGACATCAACCCCAGGGAGAGCACAGAGCCCTACTTGGTGCCCCCCTGGCTCTGCCTCACCAGCACCTCCCCTGCAGACGGGGCTGGCACCAAGGAAAAGATCTGGCAGAGGGGGAGATGCTGAGCCCCTGGCCATCAGAGAGGCAGCCTGCACCCTCCAAGGAGCTTGGACCCTGGGGACCAGCGTCATGCAGGGCGCGGTGGGGGCTGGGTCAGCGCCAGGCCGGCTGCTCCTGTAGGACCCGGGCCTCCCCCTCCCTCCAGATCACTGCCCACAAGAAGCTCAACTCTCTCCTCCACCAGAGGGACCTGTAGGGTCAGCAAGAGGACCAATGAGGCAACACAGGCTTCTGGCCAAGCTGTGGCCTTCGTCCCCTGAGGAGGCCCTAAAGGACAGATCCATACAGCGAACTGAAGGGGGAGGGAAGGTGTGCACCCAGCTCGCAGGTCTTGGACCTGAAAGCCGCCTCCAGGGCTCCAGGCATGGGGCTTCCTGGGCAGGAGCTGCTCACTGAGTGCAGCGAGAGGAAGCGGGCTAGCGGCTGAGGCAACACCCCACTCCCCACCAAAGCACTTTGACAAACAAGGGTGGGTTCCCAGTGCTAACACACCGCCGCCCTCCCCTCTCCCCGCAGGAGGCTTCCAGAACCGAGGAGCTGCAGTGGGTGTGGAGGCAACTACCCAGGGTCAACTATGAGGTCGGGACCCATTCAGAGTGAGCCAGAAGGGCCCAGGCAAGAGCTGCAGCATCAGGTGACCTCACACGCCAGCCAAGGTGGGCAGTGGACTGAGTACTAGTTTGGTGATGGGGTGTCCTCGGAGGTCGGGTACCTGTGACTGGGATGTGTCTTGGACATAAAGCAAGTGCAGAGTTCTAATCGGTGGTTCCATTCTCCTGCAAGGGAAGCGGCCAGAGAAGGACGAAGTGGATCTCAGGGAGTGCGAGACATCGCCAATATGGGGGACTGAGCACATAGTCACAAGGACCTGCCGAGGATGGAAACAGAAACTCTCGGCCTGGGGAATGCGCTCCCCAAGGAGCCCACTGGGAGACGCTGAGGTTCTGGGAAGGGCAGCCCCGACCCAGCGACAGGAGGCATTGCTCTGCTCAGTGGTTTTCTTAGTGCAGGACCTTCTGTGTCTGTGGGTCATGCCCGCTCATATGAGTGTTTCTGTTGATGTTTGTGTCTCTTTGTTGTTTGGTATAATTTGTTTAGAGATGGGGCACGTCCGGCTCTGGGGACCCCAGCTACTGTGGCGAGGCTGACCACGGGGCAGAGATCGCAGGGTCACCTCAGCAGCTGCTGAGAATTCTTCATCTTGGGGAGCTTCCTGCTTTCCCTCCCAGGATGGCAGCCGCCAGGAACTCTTAGCTGGTGAGACGTTTCTGTCTGTGTGTCTGTAATGTAATTTTGGTCACTGATGTCTACCTTTTGGGGACTTGGTTTGCTGGGGACAAAGATTACACAGGAAAGTAGGAATCACAGGCAGGGGAAGTCAGCACCATGGGCTGGGGTGGGTCTCCATTGTTTGGGCAACAAGGTTAATGTCTCCATGATAATGGGCGGTTCTTGAGTGAGGATGGACCACTCAAGGTCCATCCTCCCAGGTCCCAGGTCCCAGGGGCGTGTAACTTAATATTTTGAGTTTGCTGAGTTAAATGGTAAAACATACTGAATATCAATGTATTTTTAAATAATAGGATTCTGAAATGTAAATATCAGTATGCCTCATATAGAGAATCTAAAGCAGTGATGGAGAACCTATGACATGTATGTCAGAGGTGACACGTGAACTCATTTTTTTGGGTTAATTTTTCTTTGTTAAATGGCATTTAAATATATAAAATAAATATCAAAAATATAAATTTTTGTTTTACTATGGTTGCAAATATCAAAAAACTTCTATATGTGACCTGGCACCAGAGTTAAGTTAGAGTTTTTCAAAATGCTGACACGCCAAGCTCAAAAGATTCGCCATCACTGGGCTAGACGATGATGTGAATCTGTTAATGAATAAGTATTATATTCTTTTTTTAAATCTGAATGTATTGCTAATCTGAGGAATGTTAATTCTAACTAATTGGATGAATAGAATAGGAAACTGAGATGGTTAAACAGCAATTTGGAGTTATCCAGTATATCCTATACCAAGGACACTTAGGAGTGAATTATTTGTATTTTACCTCCCTAACCATAGGACAAATAGCTTACCAGACCAAACCTTTAAAGCACTAAATCAAAGCTATGATTTTAATGCAGGAAACTTTAAATTTCAGAAGAGAAACTACATACTGAATCTCTGACCAGCAACTGATGATGCTATCAATGCACTCAGGGCGAGAGACATGCATAACCCATGGACACTGACAATAGTGTGGTGAAGACCTGGGATGGAGGGTGGGGCTAGGTAAAAGGGGTCAATGGGTGAGGGAGGAGAATATATATATATATATATATCCACCAAGATTCAGGGGATTTTAAGCTAATGCTTTTCTCAAAAGGACTAACCCTACTGAGCTTTTCAAATCCCCAAGGCCCAATTATATTTCTTTGCTTCAGCATCACTTTCCAGATGTTTTCACCACTGCTGGTGAACGCAGATAACACTGAGGTCACCAATGAGGGAAACCTCGAAAAGCAG